TAATCATAAAATTATTTTTTTTTAAATGCACCCTGATTTTTGATACTATTCAAGCTTTAGTATCGCTCGCCCCTTAAATACAATCGAACACATCCTTTTTTTTTAAATTACATATAAAATTTAATTTTGCGATTTTCGTTTTGTCATAACCTTCATAAAATAAACACCAATCATTAGCTTCCCCGTAGCGGTCCGTACGAGTGGTGGACAATATAAAATAGATTTAAAGCAGATAAGCAACGGAAAAAATTTGGATATTCTCAATTTCTCAGTATATGCTTAATTTTGACTGTCTATGTTTATACTTCGAAAGACTTCGACTATTAGCACGTTCAGTTTACAAGCGTCAGCGGTTAAAAGAAAATAAAATTTGATAGATTAGTTAATTAACCAGATACAATAATATTTATTCGGCAAATTTGTAAGATGGGGGACAAATTTTGATTATCGATTTAACATGCTTCCAATATTCTTAAACTATCTATTTGCAAGATTTCACAGCATTCGGTTTTTGGACTTTCAAAGTTCGATTGTAAAATATTGCTATAAACTTTTGTTTTTTTTTTTATAAATCTGTTTTCCAAGGGTAAAAACTCAACACGGATTCTTAAATCACACATGCAGGAGTACGTAATTTTACAAAATTTAAAGAAAACTTATCCGCCAAAATTTTAAAATGACGTCATAACTTTTTGGGGGCATAAATGAAAACATTTTAATAATATTAACCATAAAATAATAATAAATAACCATAAAACGTTTGCAAGATTTCAGATCCTTCGGTTTTACAGTTTCAAAGTTAAATTACACAATCTTGTTGTAGAATTTTGATTTTTTTTTCCAAAAATGTGGATATCTAGGATAAAAGTTCAACACGAATTCATATTCATAAACCACCTCTGCAAAAGTATCTTATTTTATAAAAATTAAATAATGTTTACTAATGTAAATCTTATTGTTGGCGGGGATGATTATCCAAATTTTGACTAGCAGTTTACCATCTGCACGATATTTCTAATACACATATAAAATTTGACAACAATCGGTCCAGTAGTTTCAGAAATTATCTGTCTGATACATCTGTAATAATAATAATTTGTCTACTACGGAAACGGAGGACCTAGACGCCATGAAAGTAGCCATTCACTGGACGGACCCTATTACAATACTACCCTCGTTTGCCTTCGTTAAGTAAAAATGGGGAAAACGTTAAAAAAATGGATTATTTTCAAGACTTGACTTGATGAGGGTGACAATTTTCGTAACTTAACTAAATACCTTTTTTAATACATTTCGAGGTCTGGAACTCACTTCCGACCTCCTTTCTTTGATAACTCCAACAGTTTTTCCAGAATCGTTCTTTGAAATATGGAATTTTTGTAATTTTTGAAAATTTTGAATTTTAAAATCGAACTTTTTGAAAATATTGCGCGATGAATATAAGCACGCTATATTTTTGGAATCAGCACATCGAAATTTACATCCATGAATTTTTTGAGAATTTTTGGGCAACTGTTTTAAAAGTGAAAATTTTCCGTTGGTCCCCATTCTTCAAATTTCGACTCATTTTTGATCATTTTCGAAACTTAAATAAATACGTTTTCTGGTAGATTTCGAGCTCTAAAAGTCACTTCCGACCTCGTTTCTTTGACAACTCGAACCGTTTTTTCAGAATCGGCTGTTGCAAAATCGAAACTTTTGGAATTTTTGAAAAATTTGGATTTTAAAACCGAACATTTAGAAAATATTGCGCAGTGAATATATATAAACACGCTATATTTTTGAAATGGGCACGCCGAGATCTACATCCTTGAATTTTTTGAGAATTTTTGAGCAACTTGTTTAAAAGTGAGAGTTTTCCAATAGTTTTGTTCAAATTTCGGCCCATTTTTGACCAGTTTTGAAACCTAAGTAAATACATTTTCTGGTATATTTCGAGGTCTAGAATGCACTTCCGGCCTCGTTTCGTTGATAGCACGAACAGTTTTTCCAAAATCGTTCTTTAAAATATCGAATTTTTGGAATTTTTGAAAAATTTGAATTTAAAACGGAGCATTTTGAAAATATTGCGCAATGAATATAAACACACTATATTTTTTTAAATCAGCTCGTCGCGATCTACATCCCTGAATTTTTTGAGAAATTTCAAACAACTTTTCTAAAAGTGAAATTTTTCCAATACAATCACCTCAAATTTCTGCCCATTTTTGACCGTTTTCCAAACTTAACTAAACACATTTTCTAGTAGATTTAGAGCTCTAGAACTCGCTTCCGCCCTCATTTCTTTGAAAGCACCAACAGTTTTTCCAGAATCATTGTTTGAAATATCGAAATTTTTGAAATTTTTGAAAAATTTGACTTTAAAATTGAGAATTTTGAAAATATTGCGCGATGAATATAAACACGCTATATTTTTGGAATCAGCGCGTTGAGATCTACATCCCTGAATCTTTTGAGAATTTTTGGACAACTTTTTTAAAAGTGAAAGCTTTCCAATAGCCCCCTTCTTCAAATTTCGGCCAATTTTTGACCATTTTTGAAACTTAATTAAATACATTTTCTGGTAGATTTAGAGCTCTAGAACCCACTTCCGACTTCGCTTCTTTGATAACTGGTGAAATATCGAAATTTTTGGAACTTTTCAACTATTTGATTTAAAAACCGAACATTTTCAAAACATTACGCGATGAATGTAAACACGCTACATTTTTGGAATCAACACGTTGAGATTATTCCTGGATTTTTTTAAAGTTTTTGGTAACTTTTTTAAAAGTGGATATTTTCCAACAGTCAATTCAAATTTCGGCCCATTTTTGCCTATTTTCGAAACTTAACTAAATACATTTTCTGCTAGATTTGGAGCTCTAGAACTCACTTCTGGCCTCCTTTCTTTGATAACTCCAACAGTTTTTCCAAAATCGTTGTTCGAAACATTGAAATTTTTCGCATTTTTCAAAAATTTGACTTTAACACCGAATACTTTGAAAATATTGCGCGATGAACATAAACACGCTATATTTTTGGAATCAGTACGTCGAGATCTACATCCCTGAATTTTTTGACAATTTTTGGGCATTTTTTTTTAAGTGTAAGTTTGCCAATAGTCCCCCTTCAAATTTCGGCCCATTTTGACCATTTTTGAAACTTAATTAAATACATTTTCTGGTAGATTTAGAGCTCCAGAATGCACTTCCGGCCTCGTTTCTTTGATGACACCAACAGTTTTTCCAAAATCGTTCTTTGAAATATCGATATTTTTGGAATTTTTGAAAAATTTTACTTGAAAAGTGAGCATTTTGAAAATAATGCGCGATGAATATAAACACGCTATAATTTTTAAATCAGTTCGTCGAGATCTACATCTCTGAATTTTTGACAATTTTTGGACAATTTTTCTAAGATTTCGAGCTCTAGAACTCATTTCCGACCTCGTTCCTTTGATAATTCCAACCATTTTTTCAGAATCGGTTATTGAAATATCGAAAATTTTGGAATTTTTGAAAAATTTGATTTAAAAACTGAACATTTTGAAAATGTTGCGCCCTGAACATAAATATCCTATATTTTTAAGTTGATGACTTCATTTTAAAAAAACATTATACATATATCCTTACGGAAAATAAGAAATTAAAACCAATAAAATTTAAAATAATAAACAAAAACAACGTGGATTCTTTAACGACAATCACGTATATATTTATTTTATAAAAATGTAGTGACATTTAGTGTACAAAATTTTGACGTCACGTCATCAAATTATATGTTTTATAAAATAGAAACACAGATGACAGATGATCGACAGATGGAAACGGGGGACCTATTTTTTCATCTCTAGAGCTCTAGCTTAGGGACAGTGAAAACAACTGCATATAATTTTTTTTTTCGCATCTATAGAGCTAAGGAAAACTAGAAAGATTTGGCCGAACATCTGTCAAGTATCAGTCTAAGTATTATTAACAAGATAAGGTACAAATCCCTGTATATCTAATAATTATTAAATTAAGATGATTTTATAACAGGATGATCTCCAAAGCTACTGTACCAACTGCTCTAGAACTGTAAATATATTTTAAGATTATCCATCTTAAATGTATCTGCCTGTTTAAAACATTGTAGAAACAAATTTTATCATGTTATCTCTAAAAGGGCACACGAAAATACGCTAAAATTTTTGCACCGTAAAATCACTGAATTACCAGTTTCAGTTTTATTGCTAAACAAATTGAAACTCTACAATCTCACATTAATCCGTGTGATGAATTCATTAATACTGGCATGACATGAATGTTGTGCCCATGGTGTTTGTTAACATCAAAAACCAAATTTTAATTGTATGCACTAAAGCCTTCCGCTAAAAGGTATAATTCGACAGCGCTAGTAGACAAAATCGATATTAATAAATCCTGTTATAGAAAAGCTCGGGATTAAATTTTTAGCATTTTAATTTAAAAAATATTTATAACACGGTTGTTACTACAAAATGGTTACATTCCTTGTTGAATCTTAACCACCACGTTTCTTATTCGTTACGATTACATCATCAACTATTTTCAAAATTCGACCCACTCATAAACCAGCGACGAGTTATGCAAGTAATAAATAACTTTTTATTGTTCAACCTGTTCACCAACGATATAATTTATCCATGGTTATTAAATCACTCTTAATTTTATCATTGATTCTTCTTATCTGGTAATTTTCGGGATCAAAAACAGCCGCATGCAGACTAACTATTTTTATTCATATCGTTCATTATTTACCGACTGATAGAAGCTCAACAGCCGTTTTATTTTTATACCATTTATTTTTGGAAATTTATAATTTAACTTTGCCACTCACCGCACCGACATCTCTTTATTGGAAAGACAATTCGATTTCTACGTACAGTAAGTCGAAAATACCATCAGGAACATCATAAACCAGCCACGTCTCTATTAAGTTTCCTTATGTTGCAGTAAGTTTTACAGCAAAACTCGAGTAACCACTTGTACGTGTTACAGGAAACCGTCCGGAGATGAGAAATCATTACAGAGGACATAAAATGTCACTCTGGCTGAACCTCATACCACAGCTCCACAGGCCGGGAGAAGGAGATGATGTTTCCATGAGGCATCATCATTTCCAAGAGGAAGACGATCAGTACTACGACGGTAACGTTTAATTAGAATTCATTAGCTCTTCAATTTAACATCTTCACAGACATGTAATATTAGTTCTGAGACGTATTCAAAGCATAAGAACGTGGTCAAAGCGGAGACTGCTCATGTCGGGAAAGTTTTCCTTGTGAATAAACAGAGGGGCCTGAGGGCTTTAAACACAACCTCAAAATGAATAAACATTTCTAACAAGTCAAAATCTGCGCCTTCTTTTTAACCTTCACTTGAAGTGCTAATGGCTGGAAGACGTGTTTATAAGGATAACGATGGTTAATTAAGGATAATAGCAGGCACACGAAACTCACTTAATATTATTTGGCAAACAAATGGACACGTATTTATTTAACTGATTTTTTCTTGATTAAATTTGTAATGAAAAAATAAATCCGATTGATTAATGAACACTTCACTGCCTGCTTAATCAAATACCCTCATTTTTCAATAAAATCGTCAAGGGACACTCCCTCTAATAAAATAATTATTATTCGGAATGCAACAGTGAAAACAGGAATCATTTATCTTCATTCGTTTGGGAATTATAAAATTTTATTTGTGAATAACAGTCATGTTTTGACATTCCACCGAAACGAAGTAATTTATTTACGTTAGATCCAATTTCCGATTGTAATGGACACACAAAAGTTTTGTGTGAATGCACCATTAGTTGATATTAGGTAGATGCAGTGGATAATTTCGGGGGTTTTATAGGACGAATGTACTCGTATGCAATAGGTATAAACAGCACTGCAGCTACCATCACGTTATATTAAAGCCACACGATCGTATGTAGTAGTATTTTGCTCGCAGCAGTACATTTTCAAACAACGTTTGGAAATATCCGACATAAAAGAAATAATTAGTTTTATAAAGAACATGAAAATTTTCATTACACCACATTGTTCATTCTACTAAAATATAATAGAGAAATTCGCTAATTAACTGAACTTATGTAACACCAGACTAAATGAAGTGGGTATCCGTCGTACGTCCTAGTCTGTTCACGTGTTCTTTCAGTGACTATAAACTGGTGTATATAAGATGTACAACTAATTTTAGAATATTCCGAGGCCACGACGTTTAATAGGACACCAATAAGTTTCAAAATCATTTGAATTTTCCACGTCTGCCTCTGATTCACAATTTTTTTAGTTGGAAACTTTGTCGAGAAATGAACTGAAAATACTGCTGCGTTGGAAATATTCGAAACTAGACTTTTCTGCTTTTAACAATAAATATTGATATTCATGCCTGTCAAATTACTCATAATCGTAAACGTTCATTTGTCGTTCGAGCACCTAATCAGAGCATTAATTTAATTACGTTGTTAATCGATCACGTGAACGACTTCAACCAATCAAAGATTAATCGCATAATAGATTTTATTTCGAATTAAATACTAAATTCACCTAGTGCAAACCGACTGTCATTGATCAGATATATCCTGCTAGACGGTAATTAAATATTTTTGAAGATTAATAAATCATATAATTAATACACCTTTACAACTGCTTAGAAGTGTTAAAAAAATCCAAAAAAAAATATTTGATTATGAAGATAATTTCTAATATTGACAAAACGTTTCCTTGTCTTGAATAAAACTTTGTATTTACTATTTCATTCAATACTGTAGTTTGTAGAAGCACTTATTGCCCTTCTTTAAGATCGATAATAATTAGCGTACCAGGTTTCACAAAAGTGGACACGAGATCGCCGAAAATCAGAGAAGTTCATAAAAAACGACCAAATATTTGTGTTCCTGACAAAAGAATAGTATTATATTCAATTCTTGTTAGCATCTAACTCAAACTAACCGGATTAGAAAAATTCTGGTGATAATAGCGTCACCACGAATATTCATTGTTGTGGAATCTCTCAAAAAATCATTGAAAGTTGCGAATAACGCCAAAATTAATACTCAGCAAATTCGAAACTATGAGTTCATGTTTAATTTTTTTATATAGCACATTTGAATTAAAAAAAGTCACCCTAAATACTAAATAATTTTGAGAAAATTTCAAAACAGAGCATTTTCATTTTTAGGGGGGCACATTTAGTTGTCACAGTTTTGTTTGGATGCAACGGTGGTAAAGTAAATTCAAATGGTACTTTCATAGCGAACATAACTAAGTATTGGAGATATAACTAAATTAGGAAAAATATTGGTAGTTGAACATGATGGTCTATCGCTGTTAGTTAGAGATTTAATCCGTTTATTTAACTTGGTAATTTCTAGCAGAGGGTGCATTTGCAATGATAATAATCAACAGGGAGAGTTACACCAATTATTATTGCATGAATTTGAAGCTCTGTTTTCAAGTAATTTGCGTTGTTGTAGTCATGACAAAATTTCAATTATGTTAAAAAATTGTTTTTTGGGGCTAAACCAGCCTGTACAATTTTTCAAAAGGTTATTGAAAAACTCTTCAAGGAGCTAAAGGTGCAATTTCTTTCTTAGATTAATGTCTTAGTAATTGGCAAAACATTTTGAAGAACATTTGAGTAACTGGAGGGAAGTTTTTTCTAAATTGAAGTCAGCAGGTTTTGTTTTATAAGTATAATAATAAATGTGAATTTTTCAAACAAGAAATTTATTGTTTAGGATTTGTAATTACAGCTAGAGGAATTGAAAAAGATAAAACTAAAGTGGAAGCATTCCTTAATGCACCAATAGCCAGAAATATTTCAGGAATGATAAATTATTATGGTAAATTTATTCCAAATTTAGCAGATATTATAAAACTATTAGGTATATAAATGATTAAAGAAAGAAATATATTATATTGAAAGCTAAACAAGCAATCACTCCCGATTTAGTATTGACACTTTTTAACCAGAATTTTCAAGAGAATTATTATATGTTGACATCTCAAAAATAAAGTTCCACTTTAATTTCCCGACTATCATTTAAGTATTTTTTATAAACTATGTTTGAATTAAAAATAACTTACTGGAATCCAGACGATTTTCTTAGGAACATATCAATCAATAGAAACTACGACCATCCTCATAGTTGAACATATTTAATTTGTGAAAATATATGTATACTGGTTTAAAAAAAAATCCATTACCAAAGTTGGGTTTCGGGTTCGACTTATGTAGGGCCAAAAATTGTGTCAAATGCAAGTTTAATTTAATAAATTTGAATTGATAAAACAGACATTTTTGGAGAGCCTCAGATTCTGCAACTTGTCACAGACCAATTGAAAAATAAATTGGCGATAACTTTAACGAAAGAGTGAGTGAAGAACAGACTAAAAGGTTTCACGAGAATAGAAACAAAGGGGAAACAAAAAAAAATAATATGAAATATGACAGCAGACTACTACTTATGTCCTAAAAAAATGTCCAAATTAAGTCTAGTTGGCTCCAATCCAATTACAGGTTTCTATAAATGACTATAAGGTCGAAGTAGGTCATGAACACGTGCCGCCTCTCAGTTTTGGACCTTAGTAAATGCCCAAGGACCTACGACAAATACCACACGCATCTGTATAACTGACTGTTCAAGGCACATGACCACTCTCTTTTTAACTTCAAAAATGTTCTGTCAATGCGTATTGTTCAATTTCATGTTGCAACAGAAACTCCTGATTGCTGAGGAAATTTTGTCAAAGATGTTTTCGGATTCTGCTCAAGTCGTCTCAAATCATCAACAACTTCCTCAGCTACTGAAGGTTTTCCCTGAGATTTCCTACATCTCAAATGTGAGCCTCTAACGATGTTTCTTCAAGTAATAAATCACAGTATTCTTGCTTACAAGCGGTCACACAATACACAAACTCTTCGTTTACGAAGTCCCACTGCGATAACAAGACATAACAATGAAAGTGTCTTGTTCAACAGAATAAACCATTTTCACAGTTTTCGCTTCCTTGCAAAAAACAAAATTTTCGTACGCAACCACCAACAGTTTTGAAAACTACTGCTTTGTTGTTTTGTGCTTGGATCAAGGAGAATTACTCTAACAGACACTTGAAAAACGTTAAAACAATAAAATCGACGACTTTAAATGACTAATGACAAATGAAAACTGTCATAATGAGGCATAATTTCAGCGAAGCAGGACTTTTGAAATCCGTGGCCAACTACGCCCTTAGATTCATTTATAAAATCCCTGTATCACTAAATGCTTAAACAAGATGTATCTAATTATTTTCTTATTCCGTACAGTTTATTATCCTGGTTACTAATTTGTGAAACACGACTCAACAAATCCTATTTTTTGAAAAACGAGAATCTATCCATTTAACGCTCAGTCGTAGGCTGGGCTTTTTAATGTAGTCTTGTTAATCGTAATTCAATTGTCGTTCGTATTTTCCTAACTAGTTTTATTCTTTTATTCGAGCGTTCGTGTTCCGAAATAACAATGACTAACAGAGATAAAATTATAGAAACGTGACAAAGCTTTGATTAAAGGTTGTGTAACTGATATTAGCGAGCATGTAATCCGGTTTTAAAGTCAGGCCCCTCCACTTAAGACTTTGAAACTGCTGGAGTGACAGATTTCAAATTTAAAACTCATATGTGGGTTATTAATTAAATAACGTGTAACGTGTTAGCTTGAAATGTCAAAATTATGTCAAACATGTAAAAAGAACAATAATGGCATGAAACCAAAGTTTAAAAAAATTATCAATATCACAAAAATTGTATAAGTTTGAGCATTTCATTTTTGAGAAACTGACGAATGACAGTTAAAGAATAAAAATTTCTAAACTTTTTGCAAAAAGCTGAAATTTTTAAAACTAAAAGAACAACCCCAAACGGGGTTGTTCTTTTTTTTTAATATACAGGTGGCACAAAAACCTATCAAAGAAAATGCTTTTTAGCCTTGTGCCGCCACAAATCCAGAAAATTCCATTGTTAGGGTCTAAATTTAAGCCACAGGTCCGGGCCTAATTACTCAACTTCTAGTTTTCTGGTGACAAGTAATTAACACATTCTTTTCGTCCAGGCTCCGTCCGTCCGCAGACAAAAGAACGGCCACCCCTCATCCATGTGATAGCCCCGCCGCCCCCGGCCACGACGGTGCGTGTTCCTCCGGCCACGACATCGCTGCCGCCGCCGCCCCCCAAATCCGACACCGCCCTCCAAGCCACCACGACAGAATGCCCCCCCAACAACACCATCATCGTGCCGAGCGTCAGCAAGAACAACAACAACTTACTTCGGAAGCTAGCGTCCAGCCACTACCAGAGCTACACCACGGCGCTGACCGTGACCATAGCGGTGGGGTGCTTCCTGCTGCTGCTCAACATCGTCATCTTCGCCGGCATCTACCACCAGCGCGACCGGGGCAAGAGCAAGCGGAAAAAAAAGGAAGAACTGGCGGAAGCCGGGAGCTGCAGCAGCTCCTCGGGGGAGAACTACGAGAAGGCGTACGAGTCCAGGCAGCTGGCGTACGACTGCCCCGGAAAGAGCCCCTACGACATCGCCAGGGGCGGTGTGTTCAAGGCCATCCCCAACTACGTGGGGGAGTACAGCTGCGACAAGCGGCTGGCGGATGTGCAGATGACGGAGCTTCCGCTGCAGGAGTTCAAGTCGTCGCCGCCGCCGGCGAAGAGGCACGACAACCCCCACAGCCACCCCCCGGACGTGACTTCGACCAACTCGGAGAAGCCGCCGGTCACGAGTCCCAGCATCCCGGAGCCGCCGCCGCCGCCCAAGGGGCAGCCGCCCACGACGGCGGGGAATCAGGCCGGCATTCTGCGGCCGCACGGGGCGCCGACCACGCCGGGAACTATGAAAAAACGCGTCCAGATACAAGAGATTTCTGTTTGAGTGTCAGTTTTCTGTTGTGGACTGATCAAGTATTCATACAACTGAAAATCAAAATCATATCTGACTGAACTTGATTTTTAAATAGTAATCGCACTGTGATTGTCATAAATTTATTGTCATAAGCTGAGTCTAGCGATGACGAGCTGAATTCGGTTAGGGGATCGCCTTTTTGGTTGCCTTTCGAGTTTACTGTGATAGTTAGCATGCGGCCACGGTACAGGTTATTGGTTAGTCCTAGAGAATTATTTGTGAGATGCTTTTTGAATAAAACTTGACAAATTTCCTGGGTTTAATCTGGGTTTAAAGCTACTTTAGAAAATCGAAACACTGATTAAATGTCTTTTTATTGTAGCTGAGAACAAATATCTAATGACAGCTCCAAAAATGTGCTATGTAAATACACTTTTATATTATAATTTTTTAAGTTTATCCTTTTTCAATCCTCACTAAAAAAAAAAACAAAAAATTGTTCATATTTGTGATAAAACTCAAGGCCTACGCGTCACATGATGGCAGCATAATTAAACATTTAAGTACAAAATAAAGAAAGGTCGCGGTTTATTTACCTTACCTTGGTATGCAGTTTTTTAAAAGATGAAAATTAAAATGAATTCAATGACAAAATGTTCGATTTTATTTTGAAAATATAACGCAAAAAAGAAACATAAAAATACTTCTTCAAAAAAAAAGTTATAAATTGAATATTTTCTTACAGACAATCTCCAATCAGATGCAGTAATGAAAGCGCGTGATCAGGCTTGAACAACGAACCTAGCGTACCTATTTTGGCAGGAGCTGTTCATGAGAACTTTAAGTGATCACTACATCTACTTGGCGATTCTAGTGTAAAATATTTCTGCTTGCACTGTTATATAATATTCAGCTTATAGTTAAACCGGTTTTTTCTGCAATTCGATACCTCCACGAGTAAGTGAGTCATCTGCTAAACACAAATAACGCAAAAACTAAATATTTTCAATGTTTTCGATTTTAAAAACTATTTCTAAATGTGTTCCTTTATGCAAAGTAATTTTTATTTTTTAAAAACATACTTTGAAAAAGAATAAAAAATACAATCTTATAATTATAAATCTTTGCCAAGTTAAGTTCTGAAAATTTTAAGTCAAACAATTAAAACACGCACAAAATATTGGCGACTTTGAAATCTGAACAGCGTCAGGTAAAAATTTCCAATTTTCTTCAAATTTAACTAAGCTTTTTTCCATTTTTATGTTATTCTATTGTTTGTTCGGATTTTGTATGTAATCGTTTCGAAATATTTATTTTTTTACCAACAAAATCCGAATTTATTTAATTTACAACATTTTTTAAAATTCCCATTAAAAAGGTTTGCCGTTTAAACGAATATTGATGAGATCGTAAATTTACGACGTTGGGCAAAAAATTTATTTCACACGCGATTTACATGTTCAAAATTTTTTTTTAATGTTTTTCAACTTTAAAGGATACTAATCTTGAAGAATATTAACTGCTAGAGATTAAAAACACAAAAATAAAATTCTCATAAAATTCTGTTTTACATAACAGCTGAATACAAATTCAAAATACAGTTCAATTTTGGAATAACGTTGTTGCTAAATCGACTTTCAATTTTGTTAGAATATATTGTACATTCTAAGGAATGAGATTAAGTTTTCTTTAAAGTTTCACACTATATCCAGTGTACAATATCATCTAATTTTCAGTAAGTACTCTGGCGTCTTTCAACACTAGCCGTTGTAGAATCCGCAACAAAAGAAAAGCTCTCTGAAAACAAAGAAGCTGCTGATTCCTCTTTTATAAATATTTAAATTTCATTAAGGTTGCTCTGCATGCTTTACTTATTATAGCTTTAAAAAGATTATAATCCGCGAAAGAAATATTCTTATTGTACTTGAATTACGTCGGTAATCAGCCGCAGCACATCTTCCTAACAAGCTTTGTAAAATACGTAATTCTTTATTATTCACGCTTTTCCATAATAAAGCAGAAAATCAGTATTTCATTATGCATTGGTGAAAATGCCATTAGAGATAAAAGAAGAAACGCGAAAGAAATAACCCCAGAGATATTTATTTAAATTTCCACAAGTACGATTTTCTCTTTTATTTTTATTTGACAAAAAAGTATACGACTAGCGATATATGGACCAATTTCTGCACACACTAGACGAGAGTTTTATTCAAAGAGCGACATATTTAATTATCTCAATTCGTACTGGGCTATGCTATCTATAAATTGTTCTGTTACGGCGATTCCCGCAATCAAAGTTTCTATTATCCTAGGAATTGAGTTGTGTACACTAAATAATTTAGCTTGCATTACAAAACAATAAAAGCCAAATCAAATGTAACTATTTAAGGAATTTGTTTAATTTTATGACAAAATATTATGGCACGATGGTGCTACTGTAAATTTCTATAAATAAACAAAGTGCTGAATCAAAATGTGTCAACGATTGAGACTTTTAATTATTTTAAGTTGTTGGTAACGAAGGCAAAACTGTTTTAGACAATCAGTTGCAACAACTTTCAGGTTTGGTTTGCCGTTTTTATTGTGTAACCATTTTACATTGTAAATATGCGATTTTTATACTGCCACACGTTTTAAATCACATAGATTGTTTCTAAGCCTGCAGGAGGACTCTTAGATATCGCATATTTATGATCACTCGATTGGGAAGACAATTCTTTTGCGAATCCACAATTTGAGGAGAAGACCACAAGTCCATTAAATTTTATATCATTAAAGGATATGGTGTTTACTGTACAAGAATACATCCTTTATCGATGTGACATCTGAACTGTTTAAATAATAAATACGATTATGACGGTTGTATCTTTTCATGCTGTTTACCCTTTTCATTCTGACTGGAGCGAAGGCGATAATTTTTAAGCGCTGATAAGCTTAATAATTTCCCCTGACATTGACAAGCGTTTTATCCACTTTAGTGAAGCACCGAAGTCTGAAATACAATTTAAAGCGAGACGTGGGAGGAAGCAGACTTCATCTACCATCAGGGACCATCGATGGCACAACCATGGCATCGTCCGAAATACTGGTTTCGCCCCCATATTGATTTATTATACCACATGACTTGATTAGTAACTCAATAAAATATCGACTGGCATCACAGTATTTGCACATCAATTTATGATGTTCGCACTAATAATGTGCCTTTAAACCCAATGTATTAAGTCAATATTTTGTAAGTGACCTTATCTGAAAAGAATCCATGTACATGCTACAATAGCATGAGGTCACGTTGCTCACTAATTGTCCTAATTAGGGTATTCAAGACCCCGTTATCACCTGTGTCCTAATTCACCGTATTGATTTTGGAATTGATCGGATCGATCAACAAAAGTTCCTGTAGCTATGTGTAATAATAATCAGCACTATGGGTTATTAGATTGTTTAAAGTGTCAATATTAAAGATAGATTAGGCTAAAAACGACTGTCAGCCGTCGAATGAGAGTTCGCAAATTATTTCTATTGACAACCGCAATTAGAAGAGTTTTTACCATATAAAGCTGTCATTTAACAAAATTTGACAAAACGCAACATTAAATCTGACATAATATTTGCAATAACGATTTATTAAAATTTCCTTTGACTAAAATGATAAAACATATGTTTTTCTATCACGATGATTTTTTTTTAAATATAGATAAATCTGAATGCTAAATATCGCCTTTTGTAAATGATGTCGCTAGTCATTGAAGCGGAAAACTTAAAACCCTATATAAATTAAATTTTAACACAAGTGAAATGCATATTACCAGTTACCCCACTTCTTCCTGGAACAAATGGTAAATAGTAGTCGTAAAAATTTTGATCATAAAACGATATTGATTTGTAAATAACAATTATGAATCCAGTTTTATAAATAAATGCGTCACGTTTAGAAAAGTCTCTCCTTTTTTTTTTAACCAGTTTATAATTTTTTTAACCAGTTTATAATTAGTTCCACTATATTGCACTTTTATATGCAAGAACTTGTAAATATTACTTTTTTCATATACAATGTGAAAAATATCTAAAACTATCAACTTCCAGTATTGTTAAAATAAATTAAAATATAAACACAAGTACTGCAGAAGTTCTATGTTGTCTTCAGATTTTTGATATTAATAGTTATATCATTACACGAATGGAAAATTGTTACATAAATTTACATAAAATGAAAAAAAAAATGTATTTTTTTTATTAGATACCACACGTGAAAAAAGAGCGTGGTAATAAAATTATCACTCACCAAACATGGGCGACAAATTTAAGCTTAATTACGACTTATGAAATTCTACTAACTCATAATAACACTACAACACAGGAAGTCAATATTACACATTTTCTATTTCACTGTTGGCCCTTCTGTTAAAATCTTTATACTTCCATTCTAATTTCCAGACTACATCATCAAAGATTCAAAAAAATTCACTTGGAACAGAAAACTGGGGTTAAACCCCGTGTCACCTAAAAACATCTTATGATATAAACAAAGTTTGTCAGGTTTTCTATTTTGTGTGTTACAAATTCTTCCGTCTGCGAAAATAGTGAATTTTTGTGATCAAATGAAGCTATTTATAGCCTGAAAAAGATTTTCTTCTATGAGTTTGTGTGTTTCTTGTCTGAATAAAATTCATCCATGTAAAGAGTGAAATCTTCAGGAGATGGCAGTTCGTTTCGATCATCGAGAAATTTTTGGACTCCAAATGTAATTTCATTTCTCACTTAATTATTTTCAAATCAGCAATGACTAATTCTATTGCACCTAAAAGCCGACATTACTCTTTTGTGAATCCAGTTCTTCGCTGTGTTCTGTGTATTTTGTAATTCTTTGATTTGTAAAATCAATGGTTACTTTTAACTTTCCTTGGAACTATTTTCTTGGAAATGCTACAACAATTTTAACATTTTTTATTTCAGTCAACACTAGTAAAACGAAGTACACATTCACTTGTGAAATGACATCTTCAATTTTTTTAGGGTAAGGAGTTAACAGTGTTTGCTTTGGTCTGTAATAATTATTATAATTCACTAGAAAACACAACTGGGACATAGAATGGTGCAGAAAACTGAAACACATAGTGCAAAGAAACTAAATCTATCTATATCTGACACATAAAGTAAATTTTGTCAACTTCTGACGTCAATTTACCCAACGTGATTATTCAAATCATGTTCAAATCAAGGGGTAATTATATGCTCCAAAAGTGTTTACAAAACAGATTGTTGACAAATATAACGAGAGATTGGTACCAGGAGACACTAGAATCATATTTACTTCTCCAGCTTAAGTTGGTGTCCAATTTCCGTCTGACTGTCATTTGTTGTTTGTCCATTTTGAGTCTGCGATTATTTTAGACAAGAATCATGTATAATTTTAGGAGTACTTTAAAAATATCATCTAGATGGTAAAATGTTGACCAGAATTTGTCTGATCACCCCCACCAAGAATTTATTGATCTTAAAACTTTGCAATGTAAATTCGTTTCAAATTGTACACCCCTTTGTAACTACTTGTGATTTTTAATTCACTCCTATATTTAACTTTATGCATGCAGATTTTTGGAAATAATGCAAAACACGCAACAAAATTTAATAACTTAAGTTCTAAACTATACAAGCTATTGAAATTTTGTATCCAGAAACATATTCATCTGTAAGTACGCTCCATATGACATCATGTTTTTTTCGTTTTTTACTTCCCGAGGTTCAGCTAGGGAAACATTGCAGTAGGGTTCTAGAGTATGAAAAATAAGTCTTCCGTTTGTTGTGTATCTGAAGTCTGTTGGCGATTTTATTAAACAGATTACCAATTTCAACTAAAAATCCAGGATTGCCAACAGACTCACTCAATTCTGATGACGTGGTATTTCTTTACTTGTGGTTTATGAATCTGTCTTTGTTTTTTACCTTAGAAATCCAGATTTTTTCATTTTTTTTAATAGTAGTGTAAAAGAATACCGTACTCTATATACGATGTATGCCGCACTTTGTAAAGTTCGAAGGAGAGCTTCATAAAAGTTGAACAGGTGGGTGGAGGGATTAACCTCTGTCTAATACCTTAGGCGAATTTTTCTTAAGTAATTCTGTTTAAATAACTTCAGACCAATTTTTTTAAATCTCACGTAAGATCTATACAACAAAATAGTTTTTATCATAATTTGCTAAATGGTAGTTCGACGTATAAAAAAAACAAGTGTACAATGGAAAGTAAAAATCAATACCTTTTAAAGTATTAGCAAAAGTTACCTTACCTGTCACTAAGAAAATTTTGAATACAAATTATTTGTGTAAAAAGTATTTAAGTGTTAATTATTATTATTGATAAAAAGGTAAAAATATTATCTTGCCTTCAAGAAAATGAAACAGCTTCTTTAAGAACTACATATATATAATAATATACGTACCAAAATAATAATTACTCAGATTTTCTACTTCAACAAATCAGATATAAAACATTGAATACCAAGTAGTCAAAATAACAGGTTACAGCAGCACATGGTTTATGAAAACTTGCACGCAAACAAACAATTTTATTAGACAAAAATGACGAAAATGGACAACAACCAATTTATTTGGCCTCAGTGTAACCGTATATTTTGTTGTTAGGATCGCTCTTTTAGACGCAAACCTTTAAAACATACAAAATAAAAAAAACCATTAACGGCAAAAAAATAGATTTTTTTCAGTTTCTACCACATCAACAACTACTCAAAACATTTAACAAAATTATACAAAAAAAATGTCCTAATGGAATCAATGTAGGAGTTTTACTACTGTATAGTCGTTACATTTTTCTTAGTTCACAGTTACACTTGATATGATATTAAGTTCTCATTCTACTGCCAAAGCAGAATCCACTAGCAAAATTTCATTCACTTTCAGATTTCTCCAGATGTTCAATAATCCACATTTTTAATGCTTTTATTTAAATTTCCATGCCATGGTAAATCTCTGTTAAATGTGCACAATGAGTAAGAAGCAATAAAATTTATGTTGCTCTTTTATTACTTCAGAAAAACCAGTCATATTACGGTATAAGACCGTGAGAACATCAATTAAGTATGTATTTAGCCATTATACCGTCATCGGTATTGTTTAAGGTGAACATCATATTTCTGAAGATCTCAATCTTTGAATCAAAACGCAATAAGATCACTTTTTTCAATTTATTGCACTTGTAATGCTTCAGAAATTTTGATCTCAGAAGCAAAAATATGTCTTCCTTTCAAAAATAATGTTGAATCTACTATTCCACCTGGTCGACATACAAAATTTTTCTTTACAACAATTTAAGTCATGAATACCAAACTGGACAAGAAGCTTTGGCGTTATGTGGTCAATGTCCTAACTAATCAACGGTCATCATGAAATTCCCTTAAGAAATTTAAGTCGTTTATGGTGTTTGAGCTGTTGCGCCGTCATGTTGAAAAAACCCGGTGTGAAAGTCGTCTTCAAGATTCACGATTAACTCGATGTGGAAGTGAGATTCCAACTTTAGGTGAACATTTTGTGCAAATCAAAATTCTTCTTCCATTGAAGTTACAAACAATCAAAACGTCAAAGAAGTTCAAGTTATGCAACACGTTTCACTGCTGATGTGAGGGTCATGGTCAACTAGAGCAGGAATTTAAAAATCACCTGGTACTATAGGAGGTATTAAAGTTATTGTCAAATTTGGCCCCACGGGACTAACGAAAAACAACTTAAAAAAGGTGTTATTTTATTATTAAATGAATTGATTTATTATCAGTCTTATTGACAAGGGACTGATGAATTTCGTGAAAAACGAAGAACACCTTTTGATCAAAACGAGACAGAGTAATGTTGTTTTCATACAATTAACTTTACACAAAAAACATTCGGATAAAAGTTTATCATTGAATAATCATCAAAAAATCACAACAATATTTTTCACCAAGTTAAAGACTAAAATTTTGACCATCACAACGCGTGCTCGCAACATCACCACAACAACATTTGATCGTAATTAAATAAACTCGTGAGTATTCTCATATTTTCTAGAAAATGATGTTCTTAATTTGATCAATCAGAAATTGACTCACGCTGTAATGTAAAATATATTTAAAACATAGAACTAACAGGATAAAATGTCCTTCAGGAAGCTCAAGTGTTTATTTATGTTTATATCGAAAGAATGTCACGTAGAAATTAGGTTGATTTAAATATAATTCTCAATTTATCATTAATTCATTATTATATAAAGACGTGCGTATTCTCACATTTTCAAGAAAATCTTAATTTGACCAACAAAAAAATTATGATGGTGTCATCAACATGGCTAATACTAGTCACAACACAAAAGAAAAGTAGTCAAAGCGCATTACTAATGCAAAAAAAAAGGAAAGAGCCAAAGTTCGGCATCGAACCCATGACCGAATATCGCCGTTTTGTCGATAGAGCTGCTGACCCACTGAGCCACGAGGAGTTCTATTCCGTGATGGTGAGATAACGTTATTATACTAGTTTTTTCGTACTGTAAAGGTCATGAAACGTCGAGGAAACATAAAACTGACAATTCGTCCGATGGATTCGATTACTACACAAATAGCGACGTTTGTAGCTAACTCCAAGTATGATAATTGGTTTACGTTGAACAAATAATAGGTTTTGAACCTGGAAAAAAACGCGTATTTTTAAATTACGTGTTTAACAAGGAACTGATGACCGATGATATTTTAACCAGGAAAATATTGTTATTTATTTATTTAATTTAAATTTTGTTGATACTTTACACTTAGTAGTATCCTTAGATATATAGTAAGTGTGTAAACCTAAATAACAGTTTAAAAAATATTATCATTCTACTCGTAAAGTAGTGGTGACAAGACTAGGGACTGACATTTTAGACAAGTAAGGGCGTTTTTTTTTTAATCAATATAATGTAAAATTTTTGTAATTACGATTCCATAGTGTTGGTTTTTTTGCATTTACCACCATTAAGAATTATGCTATACACGATAGTTGTCTAAATTATCCAAATACATAATCAAAAATGTAAAAAAATGTCATGAGTTCTATAGTACAATTTAAAATTTTCAGATGAAACATAACGCGGTAATCAACACAAAAATGTGATTTCAAAAAATATGACAATTCAGGAAAAACTGTGAATTGCGATGCATTTTTCAAATATCTATGAAAATCTAATTTTCAGTGGAATGAATGAGAAATAATGGAAACTTTACAGAATCTGTACTGAATTCTTCAAAAATTGTATAACATCACCGCGAATTTTCTCATATAAAATGCATTGCTTACGGATTTTCTACGTTGACAACAAAGTGAAGCACACAATAGATAATTTTTTGGCTTCTTCCGGACAATGGGAATAGCAAAAAGCAATCCCGTTTCACTTTCATGTACAGCTTCCATAATTCAGCTGAACAAAATATTAACTGCTCAGTTCGGTTGTTATTGCACGGCGCCGAGTTTAAATTAAATTTGCCTCCAATTTAAAACCCGTACATTTAAATTTTTTAAATAAATTACGATCATCAAGTCAACCATTATGCTCACTTTACTCGAGTTCTAGCTTTATTTTCCAAAAACATAAACTTATTATTAATACAGATTGACAGAAAAAACAACGAATAAAGGATCGCGATTTAGGGAAAAATCTTAGAATTTCGTCGCTATCCAAATTCATTTAAAGGTTTTTGTCATCCAGTGCCCTTCAACAATTTCCTGGTGCACCCCTCATGGTCAAGTGCGAATGCCACAACCGCCTTTGTGCTTCAAATAAACGCGAATTTCCGACTTGAATAACATGGTTATAAACGACTCTTTTATTAATTGTCCACTACAACGACATTAGGGTGTAGGACGTTGCAGTCGGTACACAAATCTGTCATATTGCGCAGCTGGTGATCCGAAAAGACGTCGAAATGGACCTCGCGACATGTCTCTGAAGCGCCAAAGTGCCCGGATGAAGCCCCCAAAAATCCGAATTTTTCGGGTGAAGCCAAGTAAGTCCAGTGAATTCATTCTGTTTGCCTCGCTCATAATTGCTATTGTACAAATTGAAAGTTTGCTCGTTTGAGTGAATGTTTGGCCAGCGATTATCTCCTCGCGATGCTTGTGCCAATAGCAATTAACTGGTAATGATTTTCTGCTGGCCGTTCGGACATCATATGATGCAGTTTTGTTGAAATTATTGGATAAGTACGTAAATATGCTTGGAGCTAGCAATTAGCGTCTATTAAAGTTATTGTCATTTTTGTGTGGGTAAATTTTACAAATTGATGCTAACTGCTGTCATGCTAGAAAAATAATAAATGATAATATATTCAAAGTATATTGAAAGCTTTTATCTTTTTTCACACTTTGCAGATTGTTAGACGTATTTATAATCGGTGGCTTGTTTGCCGGAATCAGTTTAACACGGACTTCCATGTTGTGTTAGCTTTCATTTTGCATCAGTCGAGGTTTACCAAAAACAACGATCAATATCGAGGTTGCAGAGTTTAATTGTTTCGTCAACAAGTGGCTTCCGGATGAGAAAAATAAACCTGCTAAATCCAATTTGTACATATAAATGTGCAAGCTTTGCAATGTACTAAAACTGGTTTTGATCAGATTTGTCAAAATGTTAGAGCATTGTCATCGAAGCCAGTCTTTTTTTAAAAAAAGTTCTAATGAAAATAGATCCAAATAAAGCGTTTTTACAGTATTGTTGGATTTATCGATCTAATTTACTTTATTACTTTATTAACACAATTAAACCATTAATTTTATGTTTGTAGGTAGATACCATTAAAGGCTAAGTAAAATGTAACGTCAACCTTTGATAAAATATATCTATTAACGTAATTTTTATTTTCCGACCATCCCAAAATAGTGTTGTCTAATCTCACATTTGCTCAATATTTCGCAACCTGTAGAATACGAAAATGTCGGTCCCCCGAATTTTTAAATGACGTCAGCAAATTTTTGATGAGATCGTGTCAAAATTTTGTTAAGTAAATTACCCTTGAAGTTTTATTGTACCATTTTTTCTATCTATCTATTAATGTATCTATATTTTCACCTTAACCGCATTGCAAAAAGAAACGTAGGATAACATTTTGTAACTTGCTAGAACCTTGTACAAATATTTTGAAATTTTGCTTATATTTTTTATTCATCCTTTCCAGAAATCTAATTTTAGTCCAAAAATTTGTTGCATACATTTTTGTCAAAAATATGGTCAGAAACACAATGTTGTTTGTAATTTGGGGATATTTTTTCTTTTTTAGAATTGCTGATTTGGAATTGAAAAGTTTCGTTGGCTTTACTAAAAATCGGGGACTATTTTGAGTCAGTATTTTTTTTAATATGGGCACGGTATGTTGTTAAAAGCAAAAATATTCACTGACGACATTGTTTTACTTTTGTGATTTCTCTATGTCGGTTTGAAATTTGTCAGCTCAACATTATTCTGCCTGGAGCACAAACTCACATATAGGTACAAATATTTTTTTAGAACTAATTGTAAGTAGTTCAAAAATTTGTTGAATAATTTTTTTTTTTTAATATGCTCAAAAATTGATGTTGGTACTTTGGGGATATTTTTTTTAGAATTGCTAATTTCAAATTGAAAAGTTTCGCTGGCTTTTACTAACTTTTGCTAAAAATCTAGGATTATTTTGAGTCATTTTTTTTAATATAAGCACGATATATTGCTAAAAGCTAAAATATTCACTGATGACATTGTTTAACATTTTTGATTTCTGTATTCCTGTTTGGAAGTTGTCTGGTCAGTATCATCTAAAAACTGCTTCAATGTAAAAAACAGCTAAAATATTTTTAAATATTTACAAATACGTTACCTCCAAATAAATACTAATCAGAAAAAAAAATTAAGGTCTCAATAAATATTTACACTCTTAATGTAATACAACATCATCTATTTTGTTAAACTGTTACCTAAAATCGTAAAAGCGTGCTGGATCCCCACTAGGATATTATTTTGACATACATGTATAACAAATATTTTCGAAAAATTTTAGTACAATTATTTCACAATTATTTAACTTTGCAAAACGAATTAAAGTACTTTACTGTTCCTTCTAACGCGTCGTTTAACCAGATTCAAGCAAAAATTAAATTAGGAATACGTGATTGCAAAAATATTTGTTTAATCTAACAGAAATTCAAATAAAAAAGTGACGTCTTTTGTGAATTTACAGAACTATTAAATATTAGAATAACACCAAAATTAAAGAATTTTTTGACGACGCATTTATGAATTTTGGTAATATGACCAGGATTATAGCTGTGTTCTATATCAAAAGCAAAATATTACTAATAAATTAGTTTCCACATCTTAATTTAACTACTAATTCTCAAAATTAAAAAAAAATCAAAGACAGTCGTATCAGAGAACCACCTGTCAAGCAAAATATTTTGAATTCCGACAAGGTTCAATCAGGTTTTTCCAAGCGTTTCCAAACGTATTGACATGATTTAGTTTATTTATAAATAAAGATATCGGGACTAATCGCCTACCTAATTAGAATTAAATTAATAATCAAAATCGTAGTACAAATATGGTAATTCAATATAATACAACATAGTATAGGCGGAGTTTGCTACCGCATGCTTCGTAATCAACACTCAATATTAGTAATAAAATCAAAATCAATTAATGAGCTGCCGTTCGTTGATTACAACAATCGATAAATCAAAATTTAAATTACTTCGACGAAACTGTGGTATGCATTTTACACCGGAAGCGATGAAACGGTACGTTGTGAGCTAAAATGGCAATGAAAGTAAGAAACAATGAACTCTGTAAAAAGTTTAACTTAACTGTATTATTACGTAATTATCGTAATTATTAATAATTCGTGATAATAAAAAACAATTATTGCTTATTTATTAATTTCTATAATTTCGTTGCAGCAAATGTACAAGGACTACTCAGAGTGTTAAAATAATAAAATTTAATGAGCAAAGTTGATATTTGAACAATCTGCACTGTTGCTAACGCTGTGACCAAATAAATAAACTCACGTGAGTATAATATTGAATAAGTAAATAAATAATTGCAATTAAGTTGGTTAATTAAAGTAATATATTGGAGTTTTTTCCTTGCCTGACTTAATTGTACAACCTTAACAAAAATTGCAAAAATCGAATCGATTTTGGTTTATAAAAATTACGAAATGAATATCGTTTTTAAGGCAACAATGTGTCACATTCGAGCCACCCAGAGACGCGATTTGCATACTAATAACGCGTGAAGTCAATGGTAAATAAAATACCTTACTTTAAGGCGATAAAAACAGCGATTATGAAATCACCTTCTCCGTTACTGTTCCCAGAAAGTGTTAAATTGCAACACTTCGTATAATGACAACTGTAGGTAACTTATTTATGTATTTAACGTCACTTAATTTTCAAACAATTTCAGCGAAACTGTATAATTACATTGACAGATCTCTCTCGCCCTAGACCCACTTCTAAAATAAATTAAGATTTTCTTTATCGAATCAAAAATAATTAAACTGTTTATAAGATAAGTGACCTGTCTCTACTAGTAACATTAATGGCAAATATCTCCGATTTTATGAGTATTTTTGAAAGTTGTAATTTTAATGAAAAAAATCCGTCAGAACCGGTTAATTAAAAGAATCCTACTTTCCATTATAAGAATGTGTTTTATATTTAAATGTTCACGCAGTTTGGCAGATAGATCACGACGATAAATTACACACAAATCGCGATTAAAAAGCAATAAAAGGGATTATGAGATTAAGAAGGATTTAACGAGTTCTAAAAAAAACGTAAAATTTCTAGGCGACACTTAAATTTTGTGCCTGTAGCGGAATTCGTGTGTTTGTTTTATGGTGGCAATAAACCAATGCAATAGTTAATTAACATTCAGTTATTATGTTCCCGGTTCGATAACACGCGTGTCATCTGTTGCATACGTCAGTCGATTTTTCCCGAAACCGTAAACAAAAAACTTTGTTTTTGAAAAGCTCCAATAACACATCCAGTCTACACATGCCAATAACAATTAGCGACTTCAAGCACTGGACAAAAGCAGTGACGTAACCGCTTCGGTACACAATCAGATCGACACTACAGGTAGAAGTTGTAGGCATATCCATCTAATTCGTCGAGTGCAACGTTACCACTATGATATATAAGGTAGCGCATGCCATCCTGCCATTCATTTCTGTTAACAATACTAAAAGTGAAACTTGTGATGTCCAATTGTTCGTGAAAAAAGTCGCCTAAAAGACAACAATACGCGTTTGTGCCGTAAAACTCAATACGTATCCATTATTAACGACTGTGTGAATTCGCCGTCTGGATTACACCCGAGTGCATGTGCTCCTAGTTCCGTCGATATGAAGACTTAAATTCAGGTAATTCAATTTAAACAATTAGTGGGTGAAGTAAATTGAAATTAATTGGGACGTCCTTTGTTCCGGCTTGTCGAGCTCCTCCTGTACATCATAAATGATGCATGCCGGCAAAAATTGAAACTAATGATACGAATTACGTTAATTCTCTTCCAATTTCGTTGATTGTGCTGCGCTTTCAGGACGAAATCATCCATCATGAAAGCTCTAAGTGCTAAATCTACATTTTTTGATTACGCTAGAATTGCTTTCGATTTCGGTCAGTCGTGATCTCTCGCCATTTTCTAGTCGAATTATCATCAAGCTTGAATTTTAATTGGTATTTTGGATATCCTCAGGATATGCGAAAATGTTTCCTTCGGAATGCCGCTGATCAAAACCGCTCTTTCGACATAATCATCGCTTTAATTAAAGAAATTTATTATGATAACAATTACTTCACGGTTTAATTGTGCAACATTAAGTCTTTAGCGTGATGTTTTATTTGTTTTATGGCAGTAATTGGAAATGTGTCCGGTTGCCATTGAATCAAATTATTATAACTATCATGATTAAATTATGTAGGGCAATTTGATGATAATTTGCGCAATATTTTGAGTATGTCGTAAAAG